GGTGCTGACCAGACTCGAGGTTCTCCGAGTATCTGTAACCACATCCACTTCATTAAAATGCATCAACTTTACCAATCTGTGGGCATGTAGGACAAGCATGTTAATTTATAATTCGTGTTAAATCGAATTTTAAACTCGTATTAATCACTACCCGGCCATAATATGAAAAATAGTCCTCTTGCGTTATATATATGAAATATATGATGTGGTTGTCTCGAAAACCTACTTATAAGCGAAACAATAACTTTTACGCTATGCCTTATTTTAAGGAAGCTTCTGCTCCTCCCTTCGCAACCGGTTTCTATGGTATTTTGCTATAACGTAGCAGTTTATTTAAAGTTATAAAGATGGTTATTATCAGCTTACTTTTGACACTCTTCAAAGATGCCTACCAGAGAAAAAGGTAAAACAGACAAAAACGTGAATAGAGGAAACGAGCGTTTTTAAGTGAGTGAAAAATACTTCCTGCTGTTGGGTAGAATTAGGTTGAGACTGATGAGGTGGAACGATGCAAAGAAAGATGAGGTTTCATTAACTTCCAATCTGTCTATGACTCTCATCACACAGGACTCAAGAGCATTGAAGAGTAAAAACACACGTTCAAATGAACACGAGTATATGCGTCAAGACTGACGAATTACAAAAGTACGTGATTTTTCTGAGTACAAAGCATTTGTTTTATCTGTTTGTGGGCATATACTAAAAACGAGACAATTTATGAGGGGCCTCATAAAGTGGCCAGTTAGGCCTTTTACGATCGGGTAGGATCTTAGTCTGTCACCTTGATGGATTAGAAAGTTAGCTAATTCTTTTTAGATGTGGTCTGGCAGGCTAAGTAGGAAAATGCTGCTGGTCTTTTAGCGTTAGACGATGAAATATTTGGCCAGAAAATTATTAGCTATGCTGTAGGTCAACTTTATGCCTATTAAACTTTCATTTTTTACATAAGACTTGAAGGCAAAGCAAAGTGAAATTCAATGTTATTGCCGGTTCTAATCAGTTTCTTTTGGGAATTTCCACAATCAGTCTCGAAATCACCCTAAGCAATCTTTGGTGACTAAAATTCTTACTTCAACAATATAAATGGACCAAGATACCATCAGATATTCTTGAATAACAACATAATCATTATACGTCGCTTAAGGTGATGTAAGAAATTTTCGTGAGTTTTCTCATAATAATATTATTGCTTCGACTTTCATTTCGTATGAAAGTGTATGAATAAGGGATTCTAAGGTCGATCTTGCCAGGAGAGGACAGTTGAATCCGGTAGTACTGCAACCGTTTGGCTTTTATATGACGTTAAGATTGCTCCAGTCCACAAGACCTCTTTCCGCTTTTCGGTGGAAACGGGCCAAGCTTTCGTCCATCATATGATGGTCATTCTTGTAAAATGGTCAAGTCAACACTAAGACGAGAATACTACTTATATAGGCTCATTTAAACAAAATAGAATTTTGAAACATAAATTGATTTAGAATGGTTTTGTTAATTATCTTTATTCTGTTCTCCTTCTTTTGAATAGCGGTTCAACATCTTCTCTCTACCTTCATTCTAGCAATCAACCATTAATAGTTCCTACTCAACTTTCTACCACCGTTCCTCATTCAACGTATTCAATAGCCTCTCTTATCTTTCTTTTAAACACAGACGTACCGTAATCAGCAAACCGACTAGTTTGAGACCATTCTATTTCATGTCCAGTTTCTACCCAGCTTCCTTTAAAAGCATTTTTTTTGTTGTACCAATCTTTGTCGAATAGGTCGGCATGTCTCACCAACATAACATCGACCATATAAATAGCGTATAAAAGCCAACCGGCTGCAATACAACGAGATTCATCTCTTTTTCGTGCACTTTCATACGAAATGAAGGTCCCCCTAACAATGTTATGTCAGGAGATTCATCGAAACAAAGTTTCTCTTCGTATCTATTTTGATGAAGAGTTTCAGTTTTACGCCCATTCATAAGATGACGGCTGACTTTGTTTCGCATTAGTTGGATTTTGCTACAACGTTCCGGTTAAGATCTTCCACAAAACGTTCTCTCTCTCGTTTCCGATGTAAACGAGCTCCTCTTACGTCGGCATCAGTCAAAACGACTAGACGTTTCTACCTTACAAACTATATATATATATAATTACAATTAAAATTGAAATAATATAGTTATAGATATGATAATTAAATTACTTATACTCTAACGTGTGTGTATATGTGTTCAAGTCAGAGTTTTAATTCATAGTTAAGGTCATCCTCTCGACAATAGCCTCCTCTGACCTGTAGCGTATTGTACTTGACTACAAATCTCTTATTCACACGATCCTAGACCCGCCTGAGCTAGAGATGGAATGAAGCTTTCCATACCTTCGATGCCACACAAAAATAGTGAATTTCTACAATAAGTTGGTAGGGGCCGTCTTGCATTGCCGTTATTCGCCTGATCAGCATTCCCATTTTGAATAAGAAATCAAGTCGCCTGATTGTTCAATTTTCCACAATACGTTGAATAGAAGGCCCCACTTTGCCATCGGACTTCACACAGTCTCGCTTCTTACCAGACTTGTTCTCTCGGATGTGCTGTAGATTCGACCTCGCCAGGAACTGTCAAGCGCCTCAAAATGATTGAAAACCACTTCATTTTCAGTTCTCTCAGTGCTTAATCAAGATCTGCTAATCATTCTGTATTAAGTAACACCGTTGGGTGCAATGGTGATTCGGCGCCTTTCATACCTTAAGATCACATCTGACCTGTGACCCACTGGGTCGCTGATGCTAGAGTCCTGTTGAGACCCGATCCAAGTGGAAACCGAACTAGCGTCAATAAGAGAAATATTTCGGGTCTTAAACAAACTTCACTGCATTAACGAAGAAAAAGCAGGTTTCGATGAATCGCCTAGGATACCATTTTGTATGAAAGTGTCTGATGAAGAAACGCGTAGGCTTATGCCACCTAAAGACGACGGTTGACTTGAGATGTACCACAATCGTTTGCATTCACATGCACACAGTTTCTGTATTTGTGTTTCCACTGCGTCGGTCAGGTCATCCCTGTTGAACTTGACATGTGCGCTGATTTGCTTTCTATGAATGTTAACTTGAGACTTTTGGTTGAATAATTTCCAGCTCTGACGATGTTCGTCATATGATGGATGAAAGAGCAGCCCAGTTTCACCCGAAACGTGCGAGTGCATCAAAATGAAAGTATTTTAAGTTGATGAATGACTGGCAGTTGAGTTTTCCCACAATGATATGAGTAGAGCTGATATTTTCCACTCAATTTCACATAACCTTGCCTTCGCAGAAGACGCTTTCATCCAAGCTGGACCACGGTTTCGACCTCGCATAGGTCTTATCACTCATTTTTCGTATTAGAGTAGAGCTTTGAGATTACCAGTAATTCAGTAGTATGAGATGTATTCACCCAATTTCATCTAAGCTGATGAAGGACAGGTAGCAAAATTTCACATAGCCTTGCTTTCCCAAATATTGTTATCATCCAGGTGGGATTGTCGATGAAGCAAACGTATTTTTGCTATAACAATCGACTACGTTATTTTATTTTTAGCATTTAAGTATTGTTTCGAGACTACCAGTAAATCAGTAGTATGAGATGTGTTCACCCAATTTCGTCCAAGCTGATCAAGGACTGGTAGTAGACTTTTCCCACAATGCTATGAGTAGAGCTGATGTTTCCATTAAATTGCACAAAGCCTTGCTTTCCCAAAAGTTGTTCTCATCCAGGCACCAGTGGACTATGTGAAATTCAATGGAAACATCAACTCAACTCATATCAATGTGGGAAACTTCTACTACCACTCATTCATCATCTTAGACGAAAAAGGGTGGATACATCTTATCACTCGTGGCAATGTGGCGTAGCGGTTAACGTGTCGAGTTCACACGTGGCACTGTCATGGTTCGAGTCCCGCTGAGGGCGCTGAAGAGACGTGGACAATGTCAAAACTGCAATCCTCTCCACCTTTTGGGAAGCAAGACTATGCGAAATTCAATGGAAACGTCAACTCTACTCATATCCTTGAGGTGAAATTCAACTACCAGCCCTTCATTATCTTTATCGAAAAAGCGTGAAAACAATTCACATGTCTGATGTAATGGTAATCTTGAGAACCTACTCACTCTCATCTGGTCGTCTTAAAGCCGAAAGGCTGCAGAACAATGCGAATCAGCCATGTCTCTTGGTGGGATCAGCCTACGAATCTCTAGATTAATCATTTGTATACAAAATGAAAGTCATGCCAATAAAATGCACCAGCATCTTGAGGTCTACTTATTGCGGGAAGTTCAACTATCAGTCCTTGCATAAGCTAAACCAAATTGGATGAATATTGTATACGAAGAAAAGTTGGGTTTCGAGGAATCTCTTGTTTCATAGTTGTTGGGCTTACTTCCATTTCGAGTGGAAGTGTTGGGTGAAGAGACAGACACACTCACATGCATCGAAGTTGACATATAACCTGAACTAACCGAATCACTTTATACTTGATCAAAGAGGCCAGATGTAGAGTATGTATACCACTTTTTAGGGATTTGCCAGTGAGTTTATTTTGGCTCGTTAGCTTGAATTTTATTGTGACGATGGTACCTCGCTCTGATGATGTCCGTCATGACGGACGAAAGCTTAGCACCTTTTCACCAGAATCGAAAGAGATTGCCTTGGAAACAGCGTCAGCATGAATCTTTCAGTAAAGCCAATCGACAGTTGGTCGAGAGGAATCCGGCGTCGTCTTCTGGTGGAACCGATCTTCGAATATCTTCACCCAACACTTCCACTCGAAATGGAAGTAAGCTCAACAATGGATGAATACTACCGCTCTTACATGTCTCTGGAAATATTTTCAAGAATCATGGATTGCCTCAAAAATGAGTCATTTTCAGACCGAGAAAAGGCAAGTTCAGGGGGTAGGACAGTATTTTGAATAAGAAATGTATTTTGTCGACACGTCAAAGTGTCATTCGAATGAGGACAGAGGGGACTTTCTAGTCGCAAATCTGGACCCAAGCCAGCGTTGTTCGCTCAAGCTGGACGTGCCGACGGGCGAGTCTGGTTGTCGGCGCTTGACATTTGTCGTGTCCACTCTCGGGACGTTTAGCGCCAGTTTCATTGGATTGGTTCGGCTGAATTGGCTCCACCGGGGTTGTCAGTCTCTCTTTGGCATGTCGACAATCCTTGCGTCCGTCCGAACCGTCAGGGCAACTCGTTGACCGCACAAATGGGCAAATCAGCGCACATGTCAAGTTGAACAGGGCTGACCTGAGCGAGATAGCGGAAACACAAATACACAAACTGTGTACATGCGAATGCAAATACACACAAACAGGTGTGCACATAAATAAGCAGATCCTCGGGGGTCAGATGTAGATCATTTCGGCCACAGATCCGGGGCCATTGTCGACAATGGACGCACCACATGAAGGCCGACTTTAGCGTTCAACATAAGAGCCAGGGCTAATTAGCGGCCCTTAAGTCGGGGACGCACAAACACACGTCCTCAAACCCAGCTACACACACACACACACACACACACACATACTTACATATACCCAGCTGCATGAGGTCATTCAGATGGCTATGATTAGAGTGGGTATGTGATATCTGCGCGTGCATGCATTGACTCAGACGTGAGAACAAACGAATGCACAAATCAACACATACGAACTGGCCGCACACTCACACCGACGCTGTACACAGACAGACACAAGTGAAAGCCCAACAGGCAGACAACAGGACAAAAGGGATCCGGAGGCCTGAGTGCGCTGGTACCAGACATCGCATTGTTTGTCAAGTCAGCTACGAAAACCTGACATCCTGGAGGGATTAACTCACCCGACACACCCGACACACCTAACACACCCGACTGTGATTCCCCCGCCTCGTCAACACAATCGAGGTCCGAGATCACCCAATCGGCTAACTTCTCGAGACTTTCACAAGAGCTGTATTCATCCTATTTTGTTTAAGGTGATGGGGCACTGATTGTTGCATTTTCACACAATCATATGAGTAGACCGTACAGTTCCATTACATTTGTCATAGCCTTGCTTTCACAAAAGATATTCTCATTCGAGCCTGAGTGGACTGCAGTTTCAATGTCGCCTAAACTCCTCAGCGGAGCTCGAACCATGTTCAGTCTCGACATGCTAACCATTCCACCACACACTGTCATTAGTGCCCTAGCTTCACAGGACAGATGTGACTGTTATGGAGGGCCAGGAATCTCAAATGAAATAGGGTGAATACACCTCTACTGTTATTTTTCGCATTTAAGTATCGTTTCGAGACTACCAGTAAATCAGTAATATGAGAGGTATTCACCCTATTTCGTTTAAGGTGATATAATTTTCCCACAATCATATGAGTAGAGCTGACGTTTCCATTGCATTTCACATAGCCTTGCATTCCCAAAAGTTGTTCTCATCCAGGGTGAAAGCAAGGCTATGTGAAATTCAATGGAAAGGTCAACTCTACTCATATGATTGTGGGAAAATTGTTCTATCAGTCCTTCATCATCTTAAATGAAATTGTGTGAGTACATCTCACATATCTACTGTTAGTCTAGACAACCTACCAGTAAGCGAAAATGGAGTACTGCAGTCGATTGCCATAGCACCCAAGAACGTGATATTGGAAAATGCCAGACTTTACTTGAACTTCACATGTGTCCCATGACCCAATGGCACTCGCGGCAGTCTGACCCGCGTTCGAGTCGCATTGGGTGATACTGATTAGACCAGTTGAGACGAGTTAGAAACTGCAGTCCACTCCAGCCTGGACAAGAATAGCTTTTGGAAA